GCTAGTTGAAGCAAACGCCTTTGGCCACTTCAATCTGCCGGTCGATCTCTTCCTCAAATTTTCAATCACCAGTAAACACGACCCCGAGTAACTGGAGCTTTTCCACTGTTTTCATTATTTCTCCGTTTATCTGAAGATCGTAAATGGCAGAAGAGTGAGACATGTTCTTAGTTTTCCTTTAGACGTGCTTGTGCATGCCTGGCATTCAGCTGAGAACCTTTCCAGAGAGCGCTGGGAATCACTTTCAGAAGATGCCAACAATACGGCGTCGTCTGCAAACAGCAGCCTTGTCGTTTCGACAACTCGTACGCTGACACACTCATTCACCTGGCTATTTTATCCGTGTACAATATGATACAAATAGGAAAGAAGACATAACGTAGCCCTAGCGGGGACCAGTGCCAACGCTGAAAGGTTTGAACTTTTTCACCATTTTCTAATGCAGCACCTGCTATCAGCAACTAGTGATTGTATGATCCGTAGCAATTGGCTATCGATCCAATATCTTCGCAAGCATGCCCACCGACCGTTGCGCGGGATCCGGTCATAGGCTTTCTTTAGGTCAGCAATTCACACGTACACCGGGTGGGCGAACTCCCACAATTTCTCAGAAGTTTGGCGTGGGGCGAATATTTTGTCAGATGTGCTTCGGTGAGACCAGAAGCCACATTGTTATTGTATTTTGAAGTTAGTTATTCCGCGGCAATTCATTTCTACCACCTCTGCGTAGATTTACTCAGGAGGCTCAATAAGGTGATACTCCGACAATTAGACCACTCCCTGTGGTCTCCCTTCTTAAACAGCGGTACAACATCCCTTGTTCTCCAGTCCGCTGGTGTAGTTCCCGTAATCACTGCAAGTTGACAAAGACGTATAAGCCAGCATATGCATTGTTCGCCTAATGCTTTGAGCATTTCAGGGTGAATTTCATCAATTCCAGCAGCCTTTCCATTTTCAAGGTTTTCATAGCTTGTGTAATTTCATCTGCAGAAAATAGTAATATCGGTTCCTTGCTGCTCTACAGGCGAGTCTTCCTCCGGTTGCTCGGGGTTGAATTCC